TGATGACGGCGGAGCCCTGCATGCAGCAATGGGGCCGCCTCCTGATCCCAGCCCCCAGGGGCTCTAGTTCCACACCTCATTTACCCTTAGGGCAGGGCTATGGAGTAGAAAGTTAACCTTGGGCATGGGGGCTTTAGGGAGAGCTTTTCCTGACCAGGCTCCTCTGAAAGGTTCTCTGTGTCTTGGGATGAGGGGCTTACTACCACTGCCCTGGGGTTGCCCTCTCCCAGTGCTCTGGGCATTAGGGCATTCAAGTACCTAGGTCCTGCCTACACCACCCAGGCAGGTGCTACCACCACACCTCACAGGTGTGGGGTGGGTGGAACTGTAACAAAGCCTCTAAAGGACTAAGGCCCGGCCTGGGCTCAGAGGGCCTCATGCCAAAATTTGCATCACCCAGATCTGGGAGATGTATACTGACCCCTAGTGGGGCTGCTCAGGCCTAGGATGCCTTCCCTTCTTGCATCAAGTGGGCACCGACTGACGACCTACAGACCACCAGCATCTCTACATGGGTATTGAGCCAATGTGTCACAGTTCCCATGCTTTGGACAAAGCAGAAAGTATGTATGAGTCAGGGTCACCCTCCCTCTGCCAGCCTATTCAAATACAGATATAATCCCTAGCTGTTCATGGCACCAGGTTTCCACTGGGCCATATGGGAATCACATATCTTACCCTGTATCCTCCTGCCAAAGCTCACCTGGGCCTCTGTGGGCATCTTACCGGACAGTGCTGGATTTCTTGGCTTGACTCTAACACTGTCTGGTAACGATGTTCAAAGGTGACCCACCACTCGCCGAAGACAGGCTGATGATGCACTTGTCCTAGCTCCTGGACTCCAAATAGGCAGAGGCTGAGGATGTGCTGGGCTTTCAGAGGGCCTGTCACAGTTCTACAGCTCAGCAGTCAATGGGGACTCGACTCTGCCCAAGGTAGGAAGTCATCCTGGGGCAAGGGCTGGATTCACCATGCTAGAGGTCCTGGGGTAGAGGCAGCTTGTCACTTATGCCCACCTTTGCCAACTCCCCGGCTGGTTAGATTTTGGGGTTCATTGATTCCTGTCAGGGTTGGTCAGGATGCTGGGCAAGGCAAGGAAGCATGGTGGACAGCACTGTTTACATAAGGACTCTTAACTATCTGGTGCCTATGGTATTAGTGGGCAAGGGTGAGTTCAGGAACCTGAGCCTTGTATGCAGCACTGTGATGTCACCAGTTGTTTCCTAATTAAGGACAAGGAATCTCCATTCCTTCCCAGTGGCTGTCCAGAGCAGGAACTTTGCCCCCAAACCAGAATCCAGGATTACCTCTTATCTTTCTTTATTTGAAGCCAGAGTACAGGACCAGGGAACCCCACCCAGCATGAGCCAAGGTGCCTCTCCCTGGGGAGGGGGTGGAGATGGGGGTCTGTCCCTCACCTCAATGTTACTCATTAACCTGAGCCAGTCAGAAAACCAAAGAGGTGCTGTGATGAGCATTTGTCAAATAAGAACGAGAAGTGAAACAGATGACTCCACTGGTGCACCCTCAGGTTTACACACTTGTGGACCAGGCACTGGGCTGGAGTCTGGTAAGAAAGTCCTCAGAGTAACCCCAGGTCCTAGGAGGACCCAGCCAACTCTGCAGAAAGGTGAAGGAGCAGGCAGGGAGCACCCCTTACCCACCTTCCCTCCACAGGTATCGGATCAGGACTAACTGCCCAGATGGGGAGGCCCTTGTGCGGTACACTGCCTGCTGATGGATGTCTTACCAGACATGGTTAGATCTGGATGCCTCTGTCTAATACTGTCTGGTAATGCCGTCCATCCATGGCCTTTTCACCGTTGAAGACGACATCCTCACCACCTCATGAACACTGAATAGAGGGCAAGGCCCTCTAGTACATTAGTACAACTGTCCGTCTAGTACAACTGTCCAGGACCAGGCCCATCATGCCCTCATCCAAACAGACCACAGTCTGAGCCTATAGGCCCCCTGGGCCTGACTGCCTCTCTCTGACCCCATGGTAGCTTTCTGTCACAGCCACAGCAGATATTGTATAACAAACATGTAAGACCCCAAGGCCTCCAAGCCTACCATTTTCAGAAGCAAGGTTGTCACAGTGCCACCAGCCTCCATAGCCCACTGGGTTCCACGCTGAGGAACCTCAAGCTGTAATCAGATAGCACCTGCAGATTCTGCAGCCCCTGGGTTGTCAACACTGGTATGCAACCAGAGGAGACCCAAAGCCTTAGTCCTCAGTCCCCTCCCCAACTTCTCATGTCATGGGGCCACGGAGAACAGAGATAGTTCTAATCACTGTGCCCAAAACAGAGTGAAAAGTAGGGCATGTGACCTTCAGGGACAGGGATACTACTCAGGTGCCAGACCAGGTGATAGTGACACATATCCAGGAAATATGCAGAAGGCTGTATAGCCCTGCATTGTCAGCCTGCTCGTGAGCCCTCTCTCTGCAGCCCAGGATCAGAGAGCCATGCCTCAACAAGATTCGGGGTGCTGAATACCCCAATCTTAAAGACCCCATCCCCCTATCCCTGAGAAATTTCAAAAGGCTCTTTCTTGAACTGTTACACAACAATAATTTCCAACTCTTATGTTATTTGTTGTATGAGCATCATGTATTTTTCTGTAATAAGAACTAGAACTGGCTGGGCTATGGTGGCAGAAGCCTTTAATCCCAGCACTCAGGAGGCAGAAGCAGGCAGATCTCTGTGAGTTCAAGGCCAGCCTGGTCTACAAAGTGAGTTTTAGGACAGCGAAGACTGTTGCACAAAGAAACCTTTGTCTCGAAAAACAACAAAGAACAAAAAAAAAAAAAACTAGAACTGAACCTCCTCTCTTCTCAGACCCAACATATAAGCCTAAATTCATGCAAACCTGAAGTTGGCCAATACAGCCTGAGCCAAGCACAACCAAGCCCTGCCTCACCCACTGCCCTCAAGAAGGGACCCAACATGCTCTTACAGGTTTCTTAGTACTGATCAGGCCAGTCCCTCCAGAGATCCATTATATGGAGATTGGACTTCACTTTCCCATAGAAGCCTGCTGTGCCCCAAGTAAGTAACTGCACCCCAGCTATGGAGGTTCTTTCTATGTGGCTGAGGGGCTCGTCTGCACAGGGCAGACGTGCTCCCTGTGATGGTCAGTCTCTTCATTGTCCTCTTTTTAAGCAATGTAAGAAAAAAGCAGGAAAAATATCTCTGTAAGACAATAAATTTTATGGTTTGTGAAATTATACTTTGATCACTTCATTTTAACCATGCAAAACATTGACAAGCAGCCTTGCAAAGGACCAGGCTGAGGACACAGAGATTCCAATCGTCTGTGCTCCCAGCAGAGAGAAGACCTGCAGAAGAGAAACATAGGGCTCACTATATCCCACCATACACAAGCTTGTTCTGGTATGCAGTATGTATGCCAAAATATACCAAGGTCAAGTGGTCCATGAAAATAGGACCTCCATCCCAGCCAAGAGTCAGCAATGGAGCGAGAATTGAATATTTATTTATTGTTTTGTGCAGGAGCCAAGCCCCAGGGTATCATGAATGTAAAGGAATCATTCTACCATTGAACTAAATCCCTGGCCCCTGGAGTGAGAATTAGAAATGTCCTTCATACCCCCAGGGTCAGTAGTTACTGCTGGTTACTTGTCCAGAGCCTCTCTAGGATTGGGTGTTTTACCTGCCCAAGCTGGGGGCCATAAGACCCAGTAACTCAGTCCACGACTTAGTAGAAGTGCTATGTGTCCCAGTGCACCTGCAGTCCCACCCAACGAATCAGGGCAGAGAGGTTTCTTGAGCCAGCACTGGGCGAACCACAAAGACTTCCTGCCCCCAGCACAACATAGAAGGGCAGGATCAGTGACAGTAAGCAGCCCCACAGAGAATGACAGCCCATGGGAGCACTCCTATTTCCCCAGGACTCGGCACAGCTGAGAGATGATGCCCTGCTGGCCACACCTAGCGCAGCCTCACACCCCAGCAGCTTAGACTGGGAAAGAGACCTCAAGGGAGGAGTCATATTAGTAAAGCCTAGGGGTGCACAGCCTCTAAGGGGATGACGGAGTCCCTTAGCGTGGGCAGAACCACAAAGGAATCTGAAGGTGAAGAGGGCTAGAGGGTAGCCTAAAACAACGTGTTTTTTGTTTGGTTGTTTGGTTGTTTGGTTTTTTTCCAGAATTTCCAAAATAGTACCAGTGCCTCACCAATGCCATTGGGGGGAGCCCTCATGCTTCCTCCTCTTAGTTCACAGGTCCTGTGGCTTATGGCCGCATACTGTTGTCTCTGCTTCCCTTCGAGGCAGTCATCAGTCATTGGGTTTAGAGCCCACCTTGTTGATGCAAGATGATTAACCCAAGATTCTAATTCGATCACATCTGTAGTTATGCTCATGGGCTCCAGGACTCAAGATGTGACTGTTTTTTGGAAGCACCATGTAGCACCCTATCAAACCTTGTGACACTTACAAGGCTCTGAAAGATGAGATGAGGTTCATATGGCTGGAAACGTGGGGTCAAAAGCAGGAGTCGCACCAAGTCCCAAGGACCTCAGTAGGAAATTACAAATTGGCACTAAGAGCCACTTTGAGTCATGCTTTCTTTCAGATCCTAGATTACTAGATCTGAACTAAGGAGTCCTTGTGAATGCTCAGGGAGACCCTGGAAGAATTCATGAGAGGATGGAAGAAGAGGATGGTTCAGACATGAGGAGGCGTCTCTACAAGACTTATCCTCAGTATCCCCCCAGCCTCCTCAGACCAGTTTGATCCCCATTCTCCACCTCTTGCTTTCCCAGATTCTGTGAGGCTGCCCCTCAGCTCATACAATGGCCCCTTTCACCATCCACCTAAAACTCTTGTTTACCTTTGGGCAGTCGCTGAATAATAGTCCCCTGGTAATGGTTGCCTGGAGACAGTTGCCAGGTCACCACTGTTGTATCCCAGCAGAGGGTTCCTAAGACCTTGCAGAGCAGGTAAGAGAGACTGGCTGGTCACCAGCTGAGGGTCCTGACCAGGGCTGAGGCTGAGTCCTTGCCCTCCTGTACTCCATTTTTGGCCCTTTCCAGAAGTAGTCAAATAGGAGAGAGGACTGGGCAGCTCGGCTGACCTCAGCCCTCTACTGAGCTCCCCACCCCCTCTCTCAACCCCAGCGTTTCAGCTAAGAAAGGAATGTCTTGTAGGGTGGGGCTGGCCCATGTGGGCAACCCAAGCTCTGAGGAGGGCTGGGATCGCTCAGGATGAGCTCTTTGCCTAGAGCCATGTCTGTCTCCCCAGAACTGACCCCTCAGAAGGGCCACCTCCTGAGATCCACAGAGAACGCATCCCCAGACAGTGAGCGCTGCTTGGGAGGCACCAGCCCTTCAAAAAATGTCAGCAACTTCTCAGAACCCTGTGTTGCCAAACGTTGTGTCTGGGGAAAACTTCAGCAGAACACTGACGTGGTCATTTTCTTGGCCATCTTCTTCAGGTTTAAACGCATCTCCTGCCCATTGTACCGGGGTGTGATTTCCTGCCGGTCTTTTTATCTGACCAGGTAAAAAGTTTATTTTAAATTTATTATAAAGATTTGAGGCTTCTATCTAGCTCACCTGGAGCTTTTCCTCAACATTTGCTTTTCCTCAACATTTATGTTATATCCCAAGACTCATGTGACTACATGGTTTGCTCTATTATTGGACAGCTTACTTTCTGAAATAGTAACTGAAACTTTTACTGTGAAACTTCCTTTCTGGATTCTAGGTCTCATCCTCAGAGAGACCTTGGAACACATTCACTAGACAAGGGCAACAGCTGGCAGCATCCCAGTCCTTCCTCTCTTAGGAAGACATATTCCTACTCATCCACTAGGTGTTTTAATAAAGTTTTTGTCATTTTGTAGGGTTTTATTTGTTTTCTAATGTTTGAAAGAGGGTTTAATATAGCTCAGGCTGCTTTCCAACTTCCCCAGGTTCCTGGAGTTAGCACTCCAATGTGTGTCCTCCTCAAAGGCTAGAGGGCTCTGGTTGGCCACAGGGCAACCCCCCACTCCCTCCACCCCCCAACCCCCACCCCCCCAACCCCCCGCTACCAACTCCAATTAGTCTGTCCAACTTTCTTTCCTCATTTCTGGAGAAGCTATAATGTTGGGTCTCTATGGGTTTGTATTCAGTTTGATCCTTCTGGTCCTGTCCTCAGTTCTTCCTGAACAATTTCCTGGACTTAATTCTGACCTTTGTATTCCATGTTTAATTCCCACGGGCTCCTTCCTGTTCTGATAGAATCCAGCACTTTTTTTTAGGATACAGCATCTCTCCCACTCCCAAACACATCCTAGAAGTGAGCCAGGTTCCTTCAGCTTTCATATCATTTCTACTCCATTTTCTTCTTCCTTTGTGTGTGTCCTTGTGTTCTTCTTGCTCATACCCAGGAGGCCTCCTAAGATCTCTCTGGAGCTAGGCGGCCTCTTAGGCTGTGGACAATATTGAACACTGGTGTTTTAAGGTCCCATTTCCATAGTAGATCTCCTTAGACCTGCTTCTGGATTCTGGAAACCCAGTGGAATGCACTAAGACCTTCCAGTGATTGTAGAATCACACACTCTACAATCCTTCCCAAATTTAAAGCCCCTACCTCAGCCTCTTCCTGGGAGTCTTTTCTCAAGGAGAAGGGGGCTCCAGGCACTCTTGGATTCTTCCACACTTGCAACCTACCCTCTACAGAGGTATGAGCTTCTCATTCCAGGCTTTCTTTCCATCCTACAGAACTTTTGGGCTTTTTTTCTTGTCAATTCAGTGGGGAGGAATTGGCAGACAAACATAATGCCTGAATGGTTTGACTTTCATGTGGTTGCTGTCCTTGACCTTTCTTTGCTGTCAATCAGTCTATCCACAGACCTGTTTTCCTTTTTAGAGCTGACCTGCTCCTATCCAAGGGCATCTGTTTGTCTTTCCCTCCCAGTCACAAGTTTCTGTGTGCTATCACCCTGTCCAACAAACTGGGTTTATTTCCTTAATGTGAGGCACAAAGAATAGTTTTTTAAATGCCCTAAAATGTTCTAAAGATAGCAAACAGAAAAATGGCAGCATCCAGGGCAGGAGTGCGAGTGGGGGAATAGTGATGGTGGGAATAGACAGGTTGTGTTAGTAGGGCTGGGACTGAGCACCTGGGTAGCCATAAACTAGTAGAACTTTTGTTTGGAGCTAGGAGCCTTTCTGCCCTTCAAGCCTGCAGATGGGCACCCTACCAACAGCAAGAGTGACGGGCACCCTCTTTGCAGCAGACACAGAGGCCACACTCGCCGAGGCCGAAAAAGACTCACCCGGCACAGACGGGATGCAAAGATGGCCTTGCACCCACAGACCGGAAGGTCTTATGGCCATCACAAAGATGGAAGTGAGCCACAAGCTGAAGCCACAGCCCAGGATATGGGGAAGCATTCTTCCCTGGGCAGGGTGGGCCCAGATGTTTGCCCCATTCGAGGGCTGGGGTCTCAGGCTCGAAGACCCCGAAGGGGTGTAGGGACTACATCTCCCTCAAGGGGTCCTCGCCCTGGTACCCTCATGCCTGCAACACGAAGTCGTACAAGATTTATCCACTGCCGGGGTCAACCCCCTCGGACCCACGTCAGCTCCAAGAGACCCAAACGGTCCAGGATTCATCGATGCCACACTCGGGTGCCAGGTGAATGCAGAATGACCCTGGGGCTTATTCCACATACCCTTAAGTCAGGGTTTCCAGGGACAGCATCTCATAGGGAAGGGACTATGCCCAGCCAGTCAGCCGGCCAGCCAGCCAGGCTCTTAGAGAAGCTAACAGGGGCCTATATATTAGGGACACTATGCTCAAGAATCTGCAGGCTCTACCTGTCCATGCCATCACAGTGGGCACGCCCTACCCCAACTCACTTAGTGCAGCCTCTCATCTCTCTGGTTGATCATAGACCCTTGGGTCACCCATGATGTCATCATAGACATTGTGACCCCTGCCCTCTGGAGACATCCCCACATCACGTCTGTGAGGGCTCCTGCCTCACACTCCAGCCCACTCCCTGCATGGAGCCTGCCCTGCTGGTAAGGAAAGTGGAGGTGGGGCCACCCTCTTCACCCCCACTGTAGTCTCTACACTACCTGGGCTCTGCCCGATTTAAGGCTGGTGGAAACTGCCTCCTTTCTTGAGTATAATGACCCTCAGACGCCCCAGTCAGGTCTGTATTGGGCTGAAGAGAGGTCCAGAGGGTCTGGGTTATTTCCCAGAAGCTGCTGGCATTGGCTGGGCTCAGGCAGATAGGTGGGTACCTTTACATTCCTCCACCTAACACCATTGGTCTGCAGGCTGGACCCATGAGAAACAGATGGGGAGCAGTATCGAGGAGGGGCTCCGGCCTGAACTAAGTCGGCTGGACCAAGATGCAGGTGGGGCTTCTGGCAGCAGGGAGGGGCAGGAAAAACCCTACTGAGCCAGAAACCTGAGGCTTCTTACCACCTACCTGCCCACAGACCTCCTGGAGGAAGAAGAAGCTGCCAGACTCCCTGTGACCTCCTTTGAGGGGCTCTTTCTGGAAGGGAACAAGCAGCCCAATCCTGGTCAGGGCCCTTTCTTTTACATCGGAGGTACCAACGGAGCATCAATGTGAGTGGGGTTTGGGCAGCCCTGGCCTGCATTCCCACCCCTGACCTGGACCTAACCCAAGATGCTGCTGTAGGCAGCCACTCCTGCCCTGCCTTCCTCAGAGAACCCCAGGACCCCCAGTTACTACATCCTTCTACCCCCACAGAATCAGCAGCTACTGTGAGAGCAAGGGCTGGCAACGCACTCAGGACAGTCGTTGTGAGGACTACAAGTTAAAGTGGTGTGAGATCAAGTGCAGGGACAACTACTGCAGCTTCCGGGAAGGTAGGGAACAACCCCGAGGGGAGGCCATGTGGCACAGCTTCAAGGCACCACCCACGCACCTCTCTTTGTCCTGCCAGGCCAGCAGTTGCTGTTCCAGCTCCCCAACAATAAGCTGCTTACTACCAAGATCGGGTTGCTCAGTGCCCTGCGGGAGCATGCACGCACTTTGAGCAAAGCCAGGCTGCTGCCCAGTACCCAAGCCAAGTGAGCCCACCCTGCCCAGCCCCAGAGGCACACCCACTTCTACCTCCATCTGTCTCCTTAAGACCATTTTCCCCATTCTGTAGACTCAGCACTCCCTCTGCAGCTCCCCCAAAACTACTCTCCTTCACATGTTTTATCCCCTCTCCCCACTGGTCTACCAATCTGCCTCTACTCCAGCACAAGCCCACCGTCCTCTACCCAGATATCTTTACTCTATGCCCACAGTAGCCACCCATGGGTGTCCATCAGTATCCATCCATTGTTCCCATCTCCTTTGCCATCATTTTGATCCTACTCCTTCTTATTCATCCAGCCACATCCATCCAGTTTCCTCTAACCCTACTCCTCAGCCAAGATGAACCACTCAATGGTTCACTGATTACTTGCCCAGCCATTTACTCACCCAAACATTTATTTAGAGATTAATCTACTCATCCAACCAACTGCTCACCATCTGTCCCTCAATGTAGCATTAAAAACATAGCTATCTACAACACCATCTAGACACCTGTATATTCAGCTGTCCACTTCCTACTAACTTTGAAAAGCAAATCATCTGCCCACCCACCTTCATACCCATCTATATTCCCACTCTGCATACCCCACCCACATCTCCCAACATACTAGAGGTAACTACTCAGACCAGGACTTATGTGCCTTTAGGATGCAGATTTGAAAAGAATATATCAGCCCTTTTCCATATGGAGTTTACATGGACCAGCCCAGGATGCTTTGGGCCACAGAAGTAGCTGTGAGAGACGGAAACTGAGTATGACATGTTGTTAGGTGAAAGGCAGTTTGGGAGCTCAGATACATACTGACTATGGTTCTATGTCAGGCACAGTCTTGGCATTGGAAACCAGTCCACAAAGAAGAGAGTAATTGGGAGAGAAAAAGCAGGGAGGTGGGACAGAGGAGTCACAGTGGATCTGGCAGCCAGAGGCTGGCTGCTGCAGAAAAGCTGGAGATTATGAGACGCATGTGAACAAAAGCCTTGCAAAGGAAATAGCTAAGGCTGGAGGACACAATGGTGAATGCCCCTTCCAGCTAGCCTGCAGGTCAAACTACCAGATCACTGGCGAAGTCTGAGGCAGAGGACAGCCCTCCCCATGTCTTCACCTTCCTGCTCTTCCAAGGGTCCTGAAAATGGAAGAGTTTTTTCCAGAGACCTATCGGCTGGACATCAGGGATGAGAGACAGGCTTTCTTCACTCTATTTGATGGTGAGAGGCCCCTGGGTAGGGCTAGGCATACTAATAGGGTAGAAAAGATCGGGTTTAGACCCCAGCAAAGTGGGAGGAGGCCAGACCTGGAAAAGGTGGATTAGTTCTTGAAAGGAAAAGTGAAGCCAGGGCTTGGGACTTGGTGGTTTCTGGTGTTGAGGGGCTGGAGAAAGAGGGTTATGACCTTAGTTAGAGGTAGGGGTGTGGTAGGGCCATAACCAGATTATGGGTATGATCAAGGTGAGACAAAGGAACAGCCCACTAAACTGGGGTGAGGTAGTGAAATCAAGGTAGGACAAGGGTTGAAGCTAGCTGGGGCGGTTTGGAGTGGTCAGGGCTGAAAGGGAAGGTCAAGGCTGGGGTATGGTCAGGGCCAGGGCAGGGTGAGGGATGGGAGGGGCAAGGAGTACTCAGTGCCAGAGGCTCAGGGGTTACTCCCTGCAGAAACCCAGATATGGATCTGCAAGCCCACGGCCTCCAACCAGGGAAAGGGCATCTTTCTGATCAGGAGCCATGAAGAGGTTGCTGCCCTCCAGGCCAAGACCCAGAGCATTGAGGACGACCCCATCTACCGCAAGATGCCCTTCCGTGCACCTCAGGCGCGGGTGGTGCAGAGGTGTGGGCATGGATGCCAGGAAGGGTCTGGGTCTCAAGAGGGATAATCCAGACCAGCTGGTACCTGTGAATATTGGTGATAGCAGTACTGCAGAGAAGCCCTTGGCCATACAGGCTACAGCACCCAAGCGACCTGCCTCAAGCAGCCCACATCAGACCTTCAGCCTGTGCAGGGGGTGTCACATTTATCGAGGGTGTCAGACAAGACTGCCTGTAAACACAGGCTCTAGGGTTGGGGGGGGGAGGGAACTTATCAAGGAGGGCTTGCTCCCTATGTCTTCTGTTCTGCATCTGTCTTCCCTACTTTCCAGCCTAGCCACCCAGCTACAGCTTATCTGCCACCCAGAGCTGACCGATAGCCCATCCGCCTACAGTGGGGTCCAGATCCTCAGTTACACATAGGACCGGGAGGGAAAAAATCAGCTCACCCTTAGAAAGGTCCCAGTAGAGCTTTATCCTCTGTCAATATTTACCCTTTCTCTGGCCACAGCCGCTATTTGCTGTGCCCTTCTCCTTCCATAGCCCACCCCCCCAAAAAGCTAGACACTTGCAGTGAATAAAGATTTAGTTATGAGGCCCTCTTCCCAATTCCTCTGACCAGTTTAGACTCAGGAATGTCTTCTGACCATGAACAGTGTTCAGCTCTAGTGGTCATGTTTGGGACAGGTGGGAGGCAATGAGGAAACAGTCCTTGTGGGAATGACATATCTGGGCCAGCTAGTCAAGCAATTCAGCCCCAGGTACCCCTTATGGTACCCCCTAGATACGTTCAGAACCCGCTGCTGCTAGATGGGAAGAAGTTTGATGTGCGCTCCTACCTGCTCATTGCCTGTGCCGTGCCCTACATGGTCTTTTTCGGCCATGGCTATGCCCGCCTCACCCTCAGCCTGTATGACCCTCATTCCAGTGACCTCAGTGGTCACTTGACCAATCAGGTAAGAACCCCAGATAGGAGAAGCCCTTTTCCTATAGGTGTAGATGAGCTCAGAGAAATACTCCCATTGCTTGGGAACACAGAGGAAGGGTCTAGTTATAGACTGCCTGCCCAGGCTTGGAAGTAGCCTTAATAGCCTTTATCTTGCCACAACAAAGATTCAGGTGTCCTACAGAAGGACCTTAGAGCCTGAATCCAATGGGAGAGTCTGGAACAAGAGATTGTTTAGGGTCTGTGGGGATTTGCTGACTGGGAAGTTTCGAGGCATAAAGGAATATGCATGAGGATCTCATAGGCAGTTCTCTCGGGAGATAGGAACAGAAGGTCAGGTTAGGGTAAAGCCTTCAGAGTGGTCCTTTCAGAGGGTGACCTCTAGGTTCTGCTTTTGCTGTAGTTCATGCAGAAGAAGAGTCCTCTGTACATGCTGCTGAAAGAGAGCACTGTGTGGAGCATGGAGCACCTCAACCGATACATCAATGACAAGTTTAGGAAGACCAAAGGCCTCCCCAGAGATTGGGTCTTCACCACCTTTACGGTTAGTCTAATTTTGAGTCATGAATCTGTATACATATTGCCCATGGGTTGGTCTAGACACATGGCTTTTCATGTGTCACTGGAACATGTGTAGTTGTACTGAAGTCATGCCTAATTGTTCCAGCTATAATTTTCAGTATCATGTTGAAGAGGTCAAAGTCGACATCCTTGTATTTCTTCTGATAATGAAGGAAAGGCTCACAAATTCCTTTCTCTCCCTAGTTAAGGGTAGGATGCTGAGGTTCCTACTGATTAAGATGATCATGTGTTCTTTTTCCTTCATCCTATTCATGTGAATTGCATTAATTAACTTCCACTACTCATGCCTTTCTGGAATAAATTCCAGGTGGTAGTAGTATAAATAATTTAAATATGCTTCTGAGTTTTATTTTTTATTTTATTGTATTTAAGTATTTTTGTGTCTGTGCTCATAAGCCAACCTATAACTTTCTATTTAGTATTTTATCTGATTTTGATATGAAATGTATCATCTCCCTTTTACATAGAAAATGTCTTGACATTATATTCTGACTCATAGTTTTAGAGGTTTGAAGCCCATGATTAAATTGATACATGAGGTGAACACTCCTGTGATAGACTGCCCTGCTCAAATTTGAGAAACTGTAGAGGGAAACCACTGAAACTATGATACAAAAATCTTTACTCTTTGAAGGTAATTCTCTGAGGCATTTGTTACAATGATAAAAACAAAAACAAAAACAAAAAAAAATTGACACATCCTGCGAAACAACCTGAACTTCCCTTTGTGGTGAGGTTTGTCATTAACACTGCCTTACTACCACCCCCAATCTCATTTGGTTGATATCTATTGAGATTTTCTATTCAAGCCAAGTGGTGGTGGCACACACCTTTGATCCCAGCACCAGGGAGGCAAAGGTAGGTGGATATCTGTGAGTTCTAGGTTAGCCTGGTATAGACAGCCAGTTCCAGGACAGCCAGAGCTACACAGAGAAACCCTGTCTGAAAAAACAAAAAGATTTTCTATTCTTGTGTTTTGTTTTGATTTTTGGTTTTTCAAGACAGTGTTTCTCTGTGGCTTTGGAGGCTGTCCTGAAACTAGCTCTTGTAGACCAGGTTGGCCTTGAACTCAAAGAGATCAGCCTGCCTCATCATATTCAGCTACACAGCGATTTCAAAGATAACTTTGTCTATATGAAATCCTGACTCAAGCAAAACAAAATGTTGAGGGTTAGGGTTATGATCAGTGGTAGAGCATTTGCCTAGCATGCACATGCTTTGGGTTCCAACCTACTACACAAAAAATTAATGAATGAAAACTTTTTATCCCAATACGTCCTTTGGAGGCTGAGGAGATAGATCTGCGGTTAAGAGCACTTTATCTACCAGCAGGAGTTTGAATCTCCAACATGCATATAAAAAGCCACATGTGACTGTGCATGCCTGTAACCCCAGCACTGAAGAGTGGACACAGGTAGAACTTAAGAGCTTTCTGGCTAGCCAGCCTAGCTGAAAGGTGAGATTCTAGTTCAGTGAGAAACCCTGTCTCAAGGCAGTAAGACAGAGGATAAAGGAAGACAGCATATGCACAGGTGTTCACTTCTGCACACTCACCTGCATATACTACACACACTATGCATTTGCACCATAACACACAGCCAGACACACATGTACACACATGTTCCTATGCATTTGAAAAGATCATATAACCCACTGTTCATTATAAGGTCCTGTAAAAATCTGTGGAGTCTCACTGTGTAGACCAGGCTGGCCTCAAAATCACAGAGATTTGCCCGCTTCTGCTTCCTGAGTGCTGGGATTAAAGGCATTGGCCTCCACCTTCTGTAGCTACTTATTTTCTGTGTCTCATATGCCTTCTGTTTTTTACTTCCTCAACTACTACCTCTTATTAGAGTAGATATGTTTTCTAGTGTGCCATTTTAATTGAAATTTTATTCTCTTCTTAGTGGTTGTATTTGGAATTACCATTAATATTTAGTTCAGATTAACATAAAGTTAATTTCAATAGCATAGAAAACCAGTTTCTATTATAAAGCTCTATTCTCTATTGTTCTGTTATTGCAATAAACTACAGCTCTACACATTTGTGACTTTAGACTTGTTGTATTCAGTTGTCTTTTAGGAAAAAGCAGTTTCAGATAAAAAAAAAAAAACCACATATGCAGCCGGGCATTGGTGGTGCATGCCTTTAATCCCAGCACTCGGGAGGCAGAGGCAGGCGGATCTCTGTGAGTTCAAGGCCAGGCTGGACCGACAGCCTCCAAAACAGAGAAACCCTGTCTCGTAAAACCAAAAAAAAAAAACCCAAAACAAAACAAAACACCACATATGCTGTCTTTTAATTTTAATTAATTAATTTTTATTTATGCATTTGTTCATTTATTTAAATGGTTTTTCTGAGACAGGGTTTCTCTGTATTGCTTTGGAGGTTGTTCTGGAACTCGCTCTGTAGACCAGGCTGACCTCAAACTCACAGAGATCTGCTTGCCTCTGCCTCTTGAGTGCTACTACACCTGGCCATATGTGGGAATGTTTTAATTTCTCCATTAAAAATATTTTAAATTTTTTATGTGTTTGAGTGTCTGCACATATGTGTGGGTTCCATGTATGTGCCTGGCACTCACAGAGGCCAGAAGAGAAGGTGTTGGATCCCTTGGAACTAGAGTTAGAAGAGATTATGAACTGTCTGATGTGGACACTGGAAACCTAACTGGGGTTCTTTACAAGAACAACAAGTGCTCTTAACAGTTGAGCCATTTCTCCAGTTCTATTTGTTGGGTAGAGAAATTCTTTTTACTGTGAGTGTGTGTGTGTGTGTGTGTGTGTGTTTGTGATGTCTGTACATGCAGCACATGCATGTGGAGACCTGTGGTAGACATCATGTATCCTTCCTTAATCATTCCCCACCTTTATTTTTTGAGACAGGGTCTCTTACTAGACTTGCAGTTCACAATTAGGCTAAAATGGCTAGACCACGAGCTTCAGGGATCTGCCTGTATCACCACCAAAGACTAGGGTTATAGGCATGCAATTTCCATACTTGACTATTTATAAGGGTCATAGGGCATTGGATGCAGTCTGTGCTTGTACAGCTGGCACTTTACCAACTAAGCATTTTAGCCTCTGAAGATACAATTCTTGGTTGACACTTTTTTCTTCCAGCATTTTGAATATGTCATTCCATTGCCTTTGGGCCTCATGATTTCTGATGAGAAATTAACTATTAATTTTATTGAGTATCCCTTGCATGGGATGAATTACTTCTCTCTTGCTAATTTCAACATTCTCTTTGTCTTTTTCACGATGTTGTGTGTGCATGTGTGTTTGTGTATGTGTTTATGTGTATGGGTACATGTATGCAATTATGGAGGCCAGAGGTCCACTTCAGATGTTGCTCCGCAGGTGTCATTCTCACTTTTTAAGACAGAGCCTTATCTTCATTGGCTTGAAGTTTACTGATTAGGCTAGGCCAGCAAACCTCAGGGATCTGTCTGTCTCTGCCTTCCCAGCACAAGAACTGAAATAAAGAGCCATCACACCAACGTACACGGGTTCTGGGGACTGAACTCAGGTCATGCTTGTGGGCATGTGTTTTGTTGACTGGGCTGTCTCCCAAGCCCCCTCTATCTTTTGAAAGTCTTCTCATGATATGATAAATCTATTAATTTATCCTGCCTGGGCTTCATTGGACTATTTAAATTTAGAGACAAATGTTTTGCATCAAACTTAGGAAATTTCCTGTCATTTCTTACAATGCCTTGTCCCTTTCCTTTTCTTTCTGGGATTCTCCGTGTATATATCTGCTGGGTTGGTTCCCATCCCCAAGCTTCTGAAGCTTTACTTTTTTTTGTATTTTTTATTTTCTCCAGAGTAGATAATTTCAAGTGATCTGCTTTTAAAATTTTCTGAACCCCTCCATTGATCAGGGAAGCAAGGGATGGTTTAGTTTGCTTCATGCTTTAGTTTGCTCAATCCAAGACTACAGACATGTGCCATCATACCCAGTTCTGTGATGAAATATATATATTGGCTGGGTGATGGTGGCACATGCATTTAATACTAGGTCTCAGGAGGCAGAGGCAGATGGATTTCCATGAGTTCATGGCCAATCTGGTCTACAAATCCAGTTCCAGGACAGCCAGAGCTGTTAGAGAAAACCTGTCTCAAAAAAAAAAAAGATGATATATAATGTGTGTGGATGTTTTGTCTGCAAGTATGTCTGTATACCAAGTGCATGTCTGATGCTGGCAGAGGCCAGATGAAAATGCCAGAACTGGAGTTACAGATGGTTGTATGTTGTCATACAATTTCTAGCACCTGGAATAACAACCAGGTGCTAGAAATTGAACCCAGGTCCTCTGGAAGAGCGAAGCAAGCACTCTTAACCACTGAGCCATCTCTTATGCTCCAAGATCTGTAATTTTTCTTTCTTTCCTTTTCTTTCTTTCTAAAGAATTGTAGACAATGTATTTTTCTACTCCAGAAATTCTAGTTCATTCCCTTTTATACTTCCTATCTCTCTCTCTCTCTCTTTAAAATGTTTTGTTTTCCCATACATGTGTCCTCTGTGTAGCCTTGGTTGTCCTGGAACTTGCTCTGCTCTTGAGACTTGCTTGCCTCAAACTCATAGAGATCCACCTGCCTTTGCCTCCTGAGTGCTGGGATTAAAGGCATGTGCCACCATAGCCCAGCTAAAATCTTAATTACATTTTTAAAATGTATTAGGGGGTACACATAGCATGACACATTTGTAGAGGTCAAAGGGCAACATATAGGAAGTCATTTCTCTTTTCACTATGTGGACCCCAGAGGTCAAACTCATGTTATCAGGCTTAGCATCAGGCACCTCTACTCTCTGACCATCTTAAGGGCTTCTGTAATTAGTATCTCTTCATTGATAGTCTCTGCTTGGTGAGACATTACCCTCAAATCTCCTTTGGTATTTTCTAATGGAGTCTTCTAACAAACCTTCAAACTTACAAAACCTAATAACTGCAATTATTTATAAAGTGGACAGAGTTCCACTATTTCCAAGACAGATATATTTTTCAGGGTTTTCACTGAGCTGAAAAACACAGGGTGAAACCAACTAGGGCAACTTGAAGTGCCACAGTGTTCTCTCTCCTACCAGGATTTTATATTTTCTAGTTGTCTGTCTCCCCGCTGTGGGTTCTCATTTTCTTCACTTTTGTATCCCCTCGCACCTCCCTCAAAGTAGACGCCCCATGATTTTGTTGAATGAGTTTCCGACTGTGAACTCTGTGACTCTGAGCATGTGAAAGTATGGGCAGTGACAGCTATGCAGGTAAGGGTGAGAGTGCCTGCGAGAGGCGTGACTGATTGCTCAGGCCTAGGAGATTTTATCTGGGCCAACAGGCAACAGCCAGGATCCCTCCCTGCTTCACCCACAGAAGCGGATGCAGCAGATCATGGCCCACTGCTTCCTGGCCGTCAAGTCCAAGCTGGAGTGCAAGCTGGGTTACTTTGATCTCATTGGCTGTGATTTCCTGATTGATGAGAACTTCAAGGTGCTGTCTTGGGAAGATGAGGTCTGGTAGGCTGGTACAAGGAGGTAGGGCCCATCTGTACATTGACCACATAAGCAGCCCTAAGGTCGGATGTGTCTATAAAGCCCATCTCCTACTGGAACTGAGCAGCCTCAAGGGCAGTCTCAATTCCTTGAGCAAACATGATACAATCTGCCCAGAATCACATAGCTTAATTAGGGACCAGAGTCCCAGCTTCTTACTGGCCAACTAGGCTGTAGGTAGAAAGAGATGCTGACCACTCTCTGCCATAGGTGTGGCTGCTGGAAATGAACTCCAACCCTGCCCTACATACCAATTGTGAAGTCCTGAAGGAGGTGATCCCTGGAGTGGTTATGGAGACCTTGGGTGAGCTCTGGACAGCCCCATGTCACAACTTTCCCATATGCTTCTTTGTCCAGTTCTGGGTACTCCATCCTACTTGCCTCCAAGTTCAGACTCCACAAGTCTGGTTTTCCAACACCCCATAATCTGCATGGCAGCCAAGGCCTCTCTCTGCTCCAATTTCTCTGTCACCTGACCCACCTAAGTTCAATCCCTTAGAGACCCCTTTCCTTCCTTGTTTCCAGACATGCTGGAGAAGTTGCCCTGCTCCAAAACGCCCTTTTATCATTCACCTTGTTGCTCCTCTGCCTCCCCACAGATCTAGCTCTTGAGACCTGCCAAAAGAGCTTGCATAGTCAGAAGATGATGCCTCTGCTGTCACAGCGTCACTTTGTGCTCCTTTACAACGGCGAGACTACGGATCTGTGGCCGCGCATGGGGGGCTCGCGCCATCTTACCCGCCTGCCTCCCTCTGCGCTGTCCTCAGTACGTGCCGCAGACCGGACTGGAGCACGCAAGCCGGTGCCTTCCAGGGACGCTCCCACAAGCGGCTTCCGCAAGTCGCGGCAGCCTGACTCCAGCGGAGGATCTGGAGCGGAGTCTGAGCCCTCTCTTTGTTCTGGGTCCCCAGTAAACAGCAGGGACACGGCTGGGGAGTCCTCCCTGGGGCCGCCCGAGGAAGAGCGCGAGGAAGAACATAGGAGTGCGAGCCACCGGGGTTCCTAGCCGCCACAAGCATTCAGCGACCCTGCTGGCGGCCGTGCCCTCTCCAGGACCTATAAAAAGCTACTTTGTGACAAATGCGGCCTCCAGCAGCCGGTCCCACCTGGGCACCCCAAGCCCTTCTGTCCCCCTCCTCTCTTTGATCCTTGGTTGTCTTTAGGGGAAGGAGAGGGAGCTGCATGCAGAATGGAAGTGCATCCTTCAGGAAGGGAAAAACTCCTGCTGACCTGTTTTTTCCTTCTGTGGCACAGCCCACCAAATCCAGAGTTCCCAGTTGTGGCTGTTACTCATCCTGTAGGATCCTCCTGAAACTCCACGGCCTTCATGACCTCTGCAGCCTGGCATTAAGACCCACCCACTGTTCTGTGGAGTCCCCAGGAAAAAGGTCTTGGATGCCCATGGAACTCTGGGAACCCTACCCTAACTCCACTACTATTCTGGTGCAGTGCTGGGGTTCCTTCTCATTCTGTCCAACATCTATCTTCTGGCCTTCCAGACTCTATGTAGAACACTCTGCACAGCCTAAAACCCCTGCTTACCTACAAAGGCTCTGGAGTTTGTTAGAGATGGAGAGGCACAGAGGAGTTGCCAAGACAGGCAGTTCCCAGGAAGGAAGACACTAAGTTGGCATTAGTGATTGTTGCGCCCCTCCCCCATATTCATGCTCCTAGTTAGTATGGGTATTTGAAAAGAGAACTCTGACCACATCTTACACCAAAGTGGCCAGGACCCTGCCTGTAAGTCCCTACAGCCAATCCTTGTGTTACACCACTCCTATAAAACTCCAAAGACCTCCTACTAACTTCCAAAAGGCCATGCTCAATTGGAATACTCTCTTGCACATCCAAGGTGGCAGATTCCTCTTCTTTGCCCTTCCTTCTGACCTTTAATTGGCCCCAAACATCAGGCCCAGCTCCATCACATGTGGGAGAAGTGCAGACCAGTCCCTCGTTGTTTATTGGAGCAAAATCCCTCAGGAGGTAAGGAAACCTGCCTTGCACAGTAGTCTAAACTGTGGCATGATGTCTACATTGCAATGACCTGGCCACCAGTAGAGGGCTCTGTCAACTGCTGTTCCATTCCAGGAACCCTTAACAGAACAACGGAGGCTCAGAGAGGTAAAGCGAGGCCCTCAGGTACCAGAGGAAACGATCATAGAGACCCTACTTAGCTCATGAGCATCCTGTATCCCTCCACACACCCCACAACCCTTTTCCATTCAGACTACCTGCCCCACCCCAGATGTTCTAGTCTACTCTCTTCCAAGTCTAGTCTTCCTGCTATAGCCTAGAGCATGAGATACGAGGTGCAGTACAAGCACAATCTTGCCCTTATGTGACAAAATCCAATGTCTCTTGTAGCAGTCTAGGAAAGAGCCTGTCCCTGTCAGTGGGTCTCTGGCCTGTCTGCTCTGAAGCCCACTAAAACTAGGAAAATGAAGACCAGATTCCCCAGAGCCTAAGTACCTAGATCTTAGTGAATCCACACCTGTTACTGGGGTTAGGGTCACCTTTTTGGCTGATATCCATGGTGCTGTACCTGTCACTACATTCTCAACTTGGGCTACCTCCAAGTGCTATTTCCGTAGCCTCTCCCCCTCCTCACAGTTCCCTGACCAAGTCTGAGCTGTGTACCTTGATGGCATTGCTAATGTCATAAATATTTCGGCTCTCAGTTGCCACATGGAGTTTCATCCCTGTCCCTTCCACTGGGGAGGGGGGTTAGCTCATGTCAGCAGAAGTGACAAAGCTCCCAGGAGGGAGATGCTTCCATTGCTGTTTGTGTGTGTGGGAACATGGAACCTCTACTGAGACCCTGATGTTACTTTTTTTATTTTTATTTTTTGAGACAGGATTTCTCTGTGTAGCTTTGTAGATCAGGTTGGCCTCGAACTCACAGAGATCCGCCTGCCTCTGCCTCTGCCTCTGCCTCTGCCTCTGCCTCTGCCTCTGCCTCTGCCTCCTGAGTGCTGCCTGTCCCTGAGACCATGGTATAACAAATACTTGGTAGTAGCCTCTCCTACTCTGCCAACCACAGGCTCCCCAAGGGCTTGGGCTGTCAATGAATAAAAAGGTTCAAAGACCACCTGCTGCTCACTCATCCTGCAGGAGTGATGAGTGATAGCCCCATCAACCCCACTCCTGGTCCTCCTCAACCTTTACAGCCCATATGGAAGGTCCCCCAGGTTCCTGAGTTTAGGACCTCATAAAGCTGGGGGTGGGAGGCTGTGGAGCATCTGAGCACCTGGACACCTGGCAGATTCAAGGCATTCTCTACTATTCAAATATGACAGGACCAGGGCTTAAGGAGCTAAATGATGGCATCAAGACTGGGCAATTGACCGCCACTGGGCTTGATCACCCAAGAACAGGGCTCCTGACAGCTGAATGTGTCCTTCCACTCTTCTGTATCACTCCTCTATTCTCCTAGGAGAGAATCCTGAGGCCCTGCTGTTAAGGATGTCAAGAGTTTCTTTCACCATCAGATAATGGGAAACTGAGCTGCTCACAGCAGTGACCCAAGCACCCTCTACCTCCTGTCCCTGCAACCAGACCTTTACCCTCCCCCTACACACACACACACACACACACACACACACACACACACACCACACAGTAGCCTCAGTCTCTGAGGTTTCCTGAACACCTTAGTTTCAGCCAAACAATAGTGGAACATCCTACATACCAACCCACTCTAGTCCCTCCCCATCTAAGAAGGGGCCAGAATAGTCAGTGCCTGGTCTTCAGAAAAACATCCCAATTCATGGAGCTTCTTGGGAAGATGAGATAGGTAAGGAATGAGTATCTACCCTCTCTCCCCACTCAGCTGCTTCCCATGGGGGCTAGTGGCTGCCTAGGGGCAATTCTTGAGATGTGAGTCCATCCCAGTAGAGGAAGATCTAGAGGTTGAGGTGCTACATGGTCAGTGGGAACATACCTCAGCAGCTAGGGACAGTCATTACCCACCTGCCCCTCAAGGTCTCTGGACAGCTGTCTGGAACCTGGAGTTGGGGGAGGGGTTGTCCAATTGTAAAAAGGAAGAGACATCTCACTTCGAGTAACACGGGTCCTCCTGTCAAGTTGGGGCGTGTCCCACACTGAATAAAGAGGAGGTTCTCTTTCAGCAACTTGAGAGGGTGGAGGCTGGGCAGGAGCCACCAGCTGTGGTCGGAAGCATTTCTGGGAACTGAAATGGCTCTGAGCCTTTATCTGAGACTGAAAAAAAATTATGAAATCAAGGTGAAGGGTGTGTGTGTGTGTGTGTGTGCTGTGGTTTTCCGGAAGAAATGGAGAGCAGCTACTGTGGGGTAGGGGTTTCTGGGAATTGCAGTGAAGCCTTCCTCCTGCTAGTCTAGGCCAAACAGAAACACACTTAGCTGTTGTGGCTACCAGACCCTTCGCGTGGGCAAATGCTATCTCTACTTCAGAAGGCAGGGTCTGGAATGGCCTCCCTGAGCAAAGTCTTTTTCAGCAGGTCCTCTTCTGCACATTTCAGGCACCCCTGGATTTATTTCACACTCACCTGCTTGCAGTCATGGACCCTGTCCCTACTTGACTACAAGCTCTCAGCTCTTGGGAGCTGAACCAACCCTGCACAGCTCACAGGTCTCAGTGGAAATCCCTAGATCTAACAGGCTGGCACAGCTCATCTTATGCCCCTGAGGTGGACATGAGTAGAATTGGACTGTTGCTGACTGTAGGGCAAGGGTACGGTGTGTACTACAGCATCCCTCACCCCACCCTGCAGAATCTCCCACTATCTCTGTATCACACCCATCAGTCACCCACAGGAGGAGTTTCCAGCAGATAAGGCCTGTGGGTATCTGCACACGTCATGCTACTTGGGAATGCCCCAACCTGTGGCAGTTCCAGTGGAAGGCAGGTCTGCCTATGGCTCAGAACCTAGGGGTGTGGTGTGATAGGCAAGCTGAGAGATGCCCCCAGACCTCACCTCCCTTTCCAAACTGACTCTGGACTTTGCAGCTTGCGCCTGACTCCTCACCCACCCAATAGGTGACGGAAGAGGCAGCTCCAGGCAATGAGGGTGCTGGTATATCCCCAAGGGACTTCATGTGGCCCTGAGCTCTTTGTGTCTGATCCTAATGTCCTCCACCTCCATGGCGGAGCCTGTGTATTGATGGGGCTGTTAGCACCAGGAGTGGCAGATTCATCCCCTACTCCCATTTACCTGCTATGCGATAAGACAGGAAGCACTAAGGGGAGGATGCGCTGAGCAAGTAAGAGCCCAGGTATGCAGACGCCTTAAGGGTGCTTAGGTCTGCCACTCCCTGGATGTCCATGCCAAGATGACCTTATTTGAATTTTTTTTCCTTTGTGATAAGGTCTTACTATGTAGCTCTGGCTGTGCTGTAACTCACTCTGTAGACCAGGCTGGCCTCAAACTCCCTAGATCCATACATAGATCCACCCACCTCTGCCTCCTGAGTGCTGGGATTAAAGGCGTGTGCCACTGCATCCTGCTCTTGTTGGGTCTTTCTATGAGCAGCCTCTACAACTACCAACAGGAAGGAAAGAGGCTTTGCTGGGAGTGCCTCAGAGCCAAAACCATGTACTTCAGAGAATTTTCCTCATGCTAGAAAGTACTCAGTATGGAAACTGGCAAAAGCTAGTTTAAGCAGTTAGGCCAAGGCAAATGTCCTAAAGTGCCATCAAAACTCCGTCTCCACAGGCATTCCAAAGGGCATTCTAAGGGCCCAAAGACTACAATTTCAGTACATGACTGCCTAATATGGACCAGGCTGAGGGGAGGGGAAGTGGTTTGGACAAGAAGCCAAGAGAGGGACTAGAGAGCTGGCTCAGCACCTACTGCTCTCTCAGAAGACCTGGGTTCAGGTCCCAGCATCTACATGGCGGCTCATGACTCCTGCTCCGGAGAGTTGCACATGATGCATAGAAACTTACAAAGGAATAAATACACAAATAAAAAATTAAAGATGAGGCAAAGAAGGCAGGTATTCAGTATAGATTACTACCTTCCAAAAGCCTTCTCCTTAGCCTGATGGTCCCTACTGAGGGTTTGTGACCAAGATTAACCTTGGCGTGTGCCCCCACCACTACCACCAAGAGATGCCCTCTCCTTTTAAAATTATTCAAGTTTTTATTACATTTTATTCATGCCTTCATGTATGCTTGTGTGTACATGCACAGGCCTGTGCCATAGCATACATGTGGAAGTCAGAGGACAACTTGTCAGGATTAAGAGATTCTCCTTCTATCATGTAGTTCCCAGGGATCAAATTCAGGTCATCAGGCTTAGAGGCAGGAGCATTTTCCTACTAAGATATTTCACCAGACTTCCCTCTCTGTTTTTGTTTGTTTGGGTTTTTTTTTTGTATTGTTTAGGAGGCTGTCCTGGAACTCACTCTGTAGACCAGGCTGGCCTCGAACTCACAGAGATCCGCCTGCCTCTGCCTCCCGAGTGCTGAGATTAAAGGCATGCGCCACCAACGCCCAGCTCCCTCTCTGAATTATACCCTAGAAATGACTACAGGCATAGGATGACAAAGGGTGTCATTAAATGCAGGCCTAGGTACCTTGCTTTCCTCTGTCCCTAGAACACAGCCACTCAGGTTACTAGACAAGTATTTATTAAAAACCACTTGTACAAGGTCTCGTGCTGAACACTTAGAGCTCTTTGAGAGCTTAAAGACCCTACTCCAACAGAGCTGGCAAAAGAGGGAGGCAGCCATAGGGTCCAATTGTAGTCACCACTCTTTTTACACCCAGTTGTCATTTACCACCATCAATCAACATCTACACCCACTTCCACCATTGAGGGGAGCAGGGCCAGGCCCAGGAAAAGATGCACGGTAGAGCCCTTGCTCTCACCAAGAGTAGGTCTGGGCAAGTCTTAGAGGGTCTGGCTTGGGGTACAGAGGAAGAACAACCCTCATGGCCACCGGTCTCCCAGACGACTCTTATCCTCCACATGCTCCCCACGCTCCTCCTCAGGGAACTGGAAGCTGCAAGCATCATCAGCTGGTGGTAACTGCACCTCCAAGAGTGGCTGGGTCTCTGTAGTAAAAATATGGTCAGCAAGTTGCCTCAGACACATTTTCCCCTTCCCAGGGACACAACTGACCTCGGGGACACATGCGCTGCCTCCTCAGCTGCCATATGTGCAGGCAGAGCTGGGCTGTGGTTAGGAGGAGAATGCATGCAGCTATGGCCAGGTAGATGACAGTCAAATGGCCATGTTGTTCAGTGGGCAGTGGCTCCGGGATGCACACAGCGTTGTGAGTCTTGTTCCCAGGGAACATGGTGAGAAATCCAAGCTGGGCACAGCTGGGACACAGACACAGACACTGTCAGGCTTGGTTACCCAAACAGCCACACTAGAAGGACGGTTGTTCTCTGAGCCATTTGGGAGAATAATGGGGGTTACTACAAGGGAGGGACGGAATAGGCTTCCTCAGAATTGGCCTAGCCTACTCATCTAGGACTTACTCGGCCCAAGGTCTGCAGTGGCCCTCACGACCTGCGGAGAAGGTGCCCATGGCACAGTCAACACACTCGAAGCCAAACTTAATTTTCCCTGTGGATAGACAGACAGACTATAGGGGCTACTGAGGTTAGAGAGGAAGAAGTCAGACTACAGTCTATCAATCCACCAGTTCTAATGTCCACAGTACCAGGGCCTGGATAGACAGTATTATGTATGCCTATTCCAGAACTAAAATGACACATTGGTCCCTCTGAAGATGGATAGGATTGGTGGCAAGGCCTGTCCTTGGTCAGAGTAATAATCTGAGGGAAGACCAGCACCTGGGCAGTCCCTATGACCTCTTGCAGCCAGCCCTGAGAAGACATCAGCACCCTCATTATGATAGAGAATACCAGGGTAGTAGGAAGAATGTCTCTGGTACCCTGGACCACTTGGCCCACCTATCCCTTCTAGAATCTAGAGTGCAGGTCCCTGCCTACCCAGAGGATATGCCCATGAACCCTATATGTGCAAGCATTCTTACATGCCTACACATGCTCATTGGACATCTATACCAACTTTACTCTAGGTTAAATTCATGGTTAGTTTGGGGGTATCTGTGGCCTTCTGCAGTCTCCCAGGGACATACCATGAGGCTGCACCTTCTGGCCTGGTTGGCAAGGGTGGTGTTTGCAGGTCTTGCACTGAGGGTCTTCACAGTGGTACTCCGGCATGACACATGTACAGTCTCCTTCAGGACAGGCCTCCTTGTCTTGGCAAGAATAAGAGCCTCAGAAACTAGGCAGAGTAACCTTTCCTTCTTCAGAGCTCCTACTGGTCCTTCAAGTGGTTAAGGTGCTAGGCCTCCATCCTCAATCAACCCCAGTGCAAGACCCTAAACTTTTTCCAGCTCAGTGTTCCGTTTCAGATGGCTGACTGCTAATGTTCATACCACCTACTGCTCTGAAGTTATGGGTTCATAAGTTCTATTAGATATGGGAGTCACCTGGGGCTTCCTAACGTCCCTGGGCCCATGCTGCCTCATCCCTACCCAACATTGTACCTCAGGGCAATAGAAACACCTCAGCAGCTGCCTTCAGTGCTGTCCACATCTCTATCACAGAGACATGGGCCCTCAGAGCTGCCCTTTCTATACCAGGTGTGGCAGATGAAGTGCTGAGATATTTTTCTTTGATGGGTCCTCAGATTGCCCAACACCTAGAACTATAAGTCCCAGACATTGGATAGGGCAGCGGAGAGTGTTGGGAAACCAACCCAGACAGAGAATAGCTTCAGTGATTGCTAAGGTTTGACCCACCCAGAAGACCCTAGACCTTGGACCCCAGATCTCTCTTAAGGGAGAAGTTTCCAGCCCCTGTTGCCTCTGCTCCCATACTACTGATCTTGAATAACTGGCTCAGATGGATCTCTACCTCCTTCTCAGTTCCAGACTCAAGGCTCTAGACACAGAAAGTTTGCCTACCCACTCATATGGGCCCTGTGTGAGTGCTGCACATCCTAGCTCCCATTCCCCTCCTTGCCTTACCTGGAGCACACAAGCTGCAGCAGCGAGTGTTGGTGCCAGTCCCACGCTGGAAGCTGCTGGGGCCACACCTAGGCTCCTCAACCAGGCTCTGCTGACCTAGGTCCAGCACACAAGCCAGTGAGACCCCACACAGCATGACCCACGCTCCCATAGTGCTTCTTCTGAGTCTTCTTCCTGTTGGCTGGTTTTTAGCAGTCCCCAACCTGCTCCAGCGTGCCTTGTCCCCGCCCCTGCCTCTGCCCCTACCCCTCAGGTTGGGCTCCAGGCCAGCTCCACCTCCATCTTCCGGCAGGCATGTGGTGCTTGTAACGGCCTTCTGTGAAGTGTGCAACAAAGCTGTATCATCTTCCTTGACATCTCCTGAACCCCAGCAAGCCCCTTCCAACTCTAGCATACCCACCCTGGCTAGGCTGCAGTGGAAAAGGGTCCTCCATTCACACATGCTGTTGCCACTACTGCCTGTGGGTACCCTTTATTGTTGCATAAAACTCCCCCCTTTCCTCTTCCCAAGCCTAGGAAGCTTCTCTGGGCTTGGGAAATGAGGAGAGCCAGTGAGGGGAGTTCAGAGCATATATCATTGCCTTTCGGGGAAGGTCGTTATAAACTGGACATTCGTAGCAGGCACATGAAGCCAAGGGCAGTATGGCCTTCCCAGATCCAGGCCTGGCAGTCCAGTTTGGATCTCTTGGCTCTCTCTGGAACCACTTTTCTTCACCTCCTCACACAATTCTAGACAATGGAAAGGGAGTTCCCGATGGAGCCCTTCAGGCCTCCTCCTCATGGTGAGACTGTCCTGTCTTTCTGAACCTCAGTTTCTTCATGTGGTCACTAGCAGGTTCTGGAACCCTGCCTCTCTATAAGGAAGCCTCTCTGGTTTTGTTTTTTGTTTTATTTTGTTTTGTTTTTTGCTTGTTTGGTTGGTTTTTGTTTGTTTGTTTTCAAGGGTTTCTCTGTGTAGCTTGGGAGCCTGTCCTGGAACTAGCTCTTAAAGATCAGGCTAGTCTCGAACTCATAGAGATCTGCCTGCCTCTGTCTCTGCCTCCCAAGTGCTGGGATTGAAGGTGTGTGCCATCACCGCCCAGCACCTATCTGGATTTTTGAGCCTTATTTTCCCCACATCTTCCAGCTGAAGCTAAACACAGGGAAACATGGGGAGGAGTATTGGGGTGAACATGGGCATCTCAGGATTACAATGGCTGTACCCACAAGTGGGAAGTGTGGAGACCATTGTGATTGTGAAAAACCTAGCAAAGCTGGCCTCTTAAACACTCTTTTAAGTTGCAACTGGAAAAGGCTGAGAAAGTTAAGAAATGTCAGAAGTAAACCCTGTCTCGTAAAAAACAAAACAAAACAAAAAAGAAATGTCAGAAGTTAGCAGCTATGTAATTCTTGCTGTTCTCTGGCCTCAGGTGTGTAAGCCTACTGAGAGGCAGTCCTGGTCACTGCAGAGTAGGGAGGGGGCTCTGGATTCTCCACTCTAGGCTAACCTCACCGTAGCCTCTCCTTTGAGAAACAGCTCCTGGACAGGGAGGTGGGTCTGAGTACAAGGGCAGAAATGAAACCACGTACCTGACTCCATATAAAGGTATTGAAGGCAGTATTGGCTATGGTCCTAACCATTAAAAAAAAATTAAGAAGTGTTCACTTTGGTAGCACATATACAAAAATTGGAACAATACAAGGATTAACAAGGCCTCTGTGCAAGGATGACACAAAAACTTGTAAAACATTCCATATTTGGGCTGGACCTAGTAGCGAACACCTTTATTCACAGCACTCGTTAGGAAGAGGTAGGTGGATCTGTAAGTTTGAGGCCAGTCTTGTCTACATCATGAGTTCCAGGACAACCAGAGAGAGATCATGTCTCAAACTAACTAACTAATTAACTAATTAACAAAAATCTAAGAGGTCAACCAGGACCATGCCTTCATAATAAATGTATAGAAAAAGAAAAACTCACTGAGCACCAACCCTGGTAAGTGCACAGTATACACATGGTACTTACTGTCAGCCATGACATCCTCACATTGGGGATCCCTATTTTCTAGGCAATGGCCTCTTCCACAGGGGGAGAGATAACAAAGCATTGACTCACCCCTAAAACACTGCCATGCAGTGTACCTTGGTGGTGTCCCATGGGAATTTTGGGCTTGGTGTTGTGTCTGAGTTCAGCCAAGGGCAAGGGCTGCTTGATAAAGACTTTCAAGGCTATAAGCTGTTAGTGAGCTCCATAAGGGTTCTTTCCAGGAGACACAGTGCTCTTCTGCCAACCACACACAGACCGCAAAGATCAAAAGACACAGGTCATATACCTGGGGAGATGTCTTCAAGCAGATGACATCAGCAAATGTCAGCACCTATGTCAGACTTCCTGTCCTACCCACTTCCAGGTACCCACTGCAAGGGACTCCCAAGAATCAGCAGCTTCTATAACTTGGTGGTGGGCAAAGGTGATTTTTTTATCTGCTCACTGCTATCTCCTTTATTTTATGAGCAGCTCCTTGTATTTCCATGTGGTTTGTTTTACAGGACTCAGTATGTTCCAGGTAGCAGAGGATCCTAGCAGTTTCAACCTGTGGGGAATTCCCAGGCTGACATGGGGCCTCAGAAGAGGTAGTTAGGGAGTTTTTGAGATGAGGAGAATAGACAATGTACTTTGGGACAGCACCAGAATGAAGAGAAAGTAAACCCAATGTCTGTGCAGAGGGGGCCATGGGTATCTGGGAAGGGTCCCAAGGAGCCCCAAAATGATCAGGAGACAGCAGGAAGACTACAGGCCTGTGTGTAATAAGAAGGAAGCAGAGATATGACCTGCCTAGTGTGGGAATAAAACCTCTTTCCTACAATCTCTAACTTCCCAAGCCCCACAGCATTCTTTTTCCAACCTTCCCCAGCCTCCTGTTGGCCGCTCTAGGCACGGACTTCCCTATAGGGTGGGGACTGCCAATTGGTCTATGACTATCACCAGGCTTAAGGTGTGGTTGCACATAGGCACCCAATGAAGGGAATTTAGTAGTTCAGTGGGTGTTTCCTTTGGTTATGGGCAGCTTGATTTTTGTCAGAGAATGAAAAGAGATGGGAGGGGAACCAGGATCAGAGATAGTTTTGTCCAACCATCTATGTGGGTCACAGTGACTTGGGCTACAAATAATAGGATGCCCCAGCACCTTTAATCCAGCACTTGGGAGGCAGAAGCAGGCAAACCTTTGAGTTCAAGGCCAACCTGATGTACAGAGTGAGTTCCAAGACAGCCAGGGCTGCAGAGAAACCCTGTCTCAGAAAAAAAAGATCTGTCCACATGAAGACCAAGTAAAAGATGGGAGGGGTAATGAGGTGATAATTTGTCAGGCTAGTGACCTCAGGGTGGCAAGAGGAAGGAAACAGCCGTCTTTATAGCTTCTTGTTTCCTATGCCTCCTCAGTGCAACTGACATATCCCAGCACCACCCCCACACCAGGAGGATTGTGTGTGTGTGTGTGTGTGTGTGTGTGTGTGTATTTTGCTGTTGTTGTTGTTTTGTTGGTTGGTTTTTTGTTTGTTTGTTTTTTGAGGCAAGGTCTCACTATGTAGCCCTGGCCAACCTGGAACTTGCTATGTGGATCAGGCTGGCCTCAAACTCACAGAGATCCACCTGCCTCTGCCTTCTCAGTGCTGGAATTAAAGGTATATGCCACCAAGCTTGGCTATCTAGTGACTCTTAACATGCACCACATAACAATAATCTGGGTTCTCTGTATTCATTTGCATGATCAGACATAACCACTTGACTATTTCCATGAGCAGCTTGGCACCTTCTGCCTTTAATTCATTGAGCTTCTGGGTACCTGTGCTTCCTGAGAAACACTGCCATCCCCAGATGCTGCTCCTACAACCCCTTGCAGTAGAGGGCAGCAGTAAGACTCTGAATCCTCAAGTCTGTTTTAGGTAACGTGTCTGTGTTCTTGTCAAAGAACATTTGTTTCTAAAGAATAAATGATCTCAGGACAGATGAGATTTGGCTCAAGTAGCAGCCTTCAGTTTTCCAACACAGCTGGCTGATTTGCTGCTACATGGAGTCATGGCCATCCACTTCCAGAGATTCCCATGGTATTACCTAGTCAGTACCCAAGGACCATCAAACACTTCTCACCATTCATGTGGCTGAAGAGAAAGGATAACTCTAGGTTAACTGCCTGAGCCACAGAGGTCAAAAGAGGCACAATGATTCACGAGCCCCTCTGGTGATTAGGATATTAAGTCAAAAGGGAAGGGCCCTGGCAAGCAGAGCCTGAGACTCTTAGGTCCTCTTAGAGCAGTGGTTCTCAACCTGTGAGTTGTGACCCCTTTGGTGAACCTCTATCTCCAAAAATATTTACATTACAATTCATATCAGTTACAAAATTACAGTTACGAAGTAGCAACAAAAATAATTTCATGGTTGGGGTCACCACAACACGAGGAACTGTATTAAAGGGTCCAAGCATTAGGAAGGCTGAGAACCACTGTCTTAGAGCATAGACTGCTCATCAAGCTGCCGGTTGGCTCCCTTGGCACTATCCCCTCAGCATTTCAGGCCTGTACTCCGTACCCCAATTCAAACTGGAGTACATGGACTAAGTGTAGGTCTCTGAGTGGACCTTCACCTTGACCTAAGACCCACCAGAAGCGGGTGCAACCACAGCCCCCTAGTGCCAGTCACAGACTCACAGTTGTCAGCAAGTTTATTGGTGGTACCACCAGGCAGGTAGTATGCATAGCATACGTAGAAGAGCCCAGAACCAGCTCAGCACCTAGAACGGTGTGGAGGGTACTGGCAGGCACCAGGATATGGGTTACCCATGCTCCATAAAACCCACTCCTGAAGTACTGTTCAGATCTTGGCCAGAGTAAAGTGTGTGTCAGCCTGTTCCTCCTGGATAGGGATCCTGAAGCTGTTTTCCCCTGGGAGAAGTAAAGAAGGAAAAAGCAGTGAAGGTATAGCTCATCCCTCTAGGAAGTAAGCTTTATCAAGCCCATGGTGGGTACTCACAGTAGGGTTTGGGAGCATCAGGCAATCTCCAAGCCCTTCGGAGCAGGTACAAGGCCAGCAGAACAGTCAAGGGAGCCAGCATGCCTAGGCCTAAGCCTAGGCCTAGGAAACCGGAAAATGCAGGGCCTATGAAGAGAGGCTAACTGAGTGAGCACACTTACCCTCACCTTCTCTCCCCTATTTTCTACTGGGCCAGTGTCCCTTACCCCTAGGAGCCACCAAGGTGGGTGTAGAAGGCAACTGAGAAGTCCTGGGCCAGACTGTGGTGGACTGGACAGTGGTCGGCCTGAATGTAGGGCCCTGGGTCTCCCAGAGCAGGGTGGCTGGGAGGCTTCTGTCCTCACAGACTGTGTCCAAGCTGGTACTGGCTGGGTGCCGGGTCTGCTTCCCAGATAAGGTACAACTGTGGGATAAGGGTGTCCATTAGCTAGAGACAGTGGTAGAAGTTGTACTGGGTCATCTTCAACTCTGCCAAGTCCTCCGTCCCCAAGCCACATACCCATCTCTGTTACTGTTCTTACTCTGTTTCCATGCCTGTCTTGATCCTAGATGGGGTTCTGTACTCTCAAAACTCACCCTTTACTTCTCCAACCCTCTGGAGAAGAACCACAACTTGAGAGCAAACATGTTCCTACAGCCTGGTCTAGGATCTCACATGCCCCCACTCCATTTGCAGGGACCCCCACAGAGGCTGTGCTGACGGGAAGATGTCAGAAGATCCTCTGGCCCATGGACTTTGTTCTCTAAACTGGTCCATAATCATCTAGACACCAGCTCTTAAATGCCCAAACCTTTCTGGTTTCATTTCTCAGTCCTCAGTGTTCCAGCCAGCCACAATACTTACTTGGTCCAGGGCTTGCAGACCTGGTTGTTGCCTGGAGAAAAGTGGCCAGGAGGGCAGGGAACACAGTCTGCAGCAAAGACATAAGTCATCTTTCTGATGCTACTGGATAGGCCCTGGGTGCTGAAGCTGTTGGTGATGGGGCCTGAAGGGAGGGTTAATGCTCACTCTCTGGTGCAAGTGGATGGGAAGCTTGGCCTCTACAAGCTCCTTCCTTCCCAAATGCCTCCCACTGGCACTGACCCAAGTCTTGGTATGACCCATTGGGAGAGGGGCTTTTGGCCAAGACTAGATGGAGAGATCCTGGGGAGGTGACAATGTATGAAATGGGAACATGGCTCATTTATACCATTATCATGGAGGGGGCCAGCACAGGTGGATCCTGACCACCTTGCTCACATTGACCATGGGGAGAGATGGACCTGCCTGGTTTAGAGGGCCCCCCTGAGGCTCACCAACTCCAAGCTTGTGGCTGCTGTCTTGCCGGGGTTGGGTGCCTGGTCTGCATTGGCAGATGGTATCCTGAGTAGGTGTGCAATTCTGCTTGAGTTCACTCCCACTTCCTAGAGAAGATCGGGTAGAGATGAATGAGGCTTACCCGGCCCTAACCTATGGACACGAAGGGCAAAATGCACTTGCCTCTCCTCAATGGCACAGGAACAAAGTTGAAGCTGAGGGAATTGTGCAGCCTGACTTTAGGCTTCTCCTCTCCTAAGACTTCCCCCTGGCTACTCTGTTCCTCCTGGTCATGAAGCCCTAGAGAAAGCTACTGAGCTGGCATAGGGCACTTGTGGCATCCTTTTTCTATTCTCCCCCACCCCATCTCTAGCGTCAGAGAATATCAGAACCCTCAGATACTCTCAACCTCCACACCAGGACCTTACCCACTAGGACAGCTTGGGCAAGGTCACATGGTCAACAAGAGCTCTACCCCAGCTCCATATGGCCCTGACTGAGCCTTCACCCCAGAGGACAGAAGTGCCCCCTGAGAAATGCCCTGGCTACTAAGGCCCCCTTAGTGAACAGGATTCATCATGGCTTGGAGTTACTTCTGCAATCATATGGGAAATATGGACACCCATCGCTGTAGTTGCTTCCTTGCTGGGCTGGACAGCGAGTCAGGGAAGGAGGAGCTCACGTTGGTTGCACTGTGTACACTGCTTGCAGTTTTCGTAATTGAATGCCTCATTGTAGAAGCCAGGTTCACATGGGTGGCATACAGTGTCCCTGGTGCCATCACAGCGCCTCACCATACCATTGCCTGTAGTGGAGCCCAGAAAGTTGAACAGGTCAGCTAAGGCCCAGGATTGTGGAGACACAGCACCCTGGCTCTTAAAGGACTAGCTTCTTGGTTGGCTCTCTGTCTCAGGACCCATGGAGCATCACCTGTGACATCACCTAAATTCATTTACTCCCAGGATGCTTGTACCTGTGTCTCCATCATTGTCCCCCAAGAATCAGCCCTTCCCCACCTTGCCACTACAATTCAAAGCTGGGCCACTCACCTGGCTGACACTCATGACAGCACCTGTGACCATTGGGGTAGGTATCTCCAACACAGTTGAGCCTGGCTGCAGCTCTAAATGTGAGTCCCAGGAGCAGAAGTGCTGTGTGCTGCTGAACCCACGCATACATCCTTGTCTGGGCTCTGCCTTCACAAGGGTCTGGGGTTTTTCCTTGCAGGATGTGGCTATAAGAGCTATGGGGGAGGGGCGAGAAGAGTAGGCGGAGAGGCAGGAAGATAGTCAAGCATGTTTTATAACTGTGTTCCTGTATATATGGCACAGGCAGAGTCCCATAACAAGCTAGGAATATGCAAGCACACAGAGAAACACACACATGCACACAGGCATTAAATTTTTTTATTTTTAATTATATTTGGGGGCATATATATATGGTAAATATAATACTCAGAGGTCAGAAGAGCTAGAGTGATAGGCAGTTGTGAGCCACCAACGTGAGAGCTAGAAACTGAGCTTGGGCCCTCTGCAAGAACCCTGACTTTTACCACTGGGCATGGTAGTACACTCCTTCAATCCCAGCATTTAGGAGCCAGACAGAGGCAGGCAGCTCTGCCTAATTTACATAGTAAGTTTCAGGACAGCCAGGACTACGTAACAGAGACCTTATCTCAAAAACAAAAACACCCAAAAAGCTTAACTACTGAGTCATCTCTCCAGTGTGAAGATTTTTTCTCCCCCCCCCCCCACCCATTTTTGTAGTTCTGAGAACCTAAGTTCTTTTATAGGCTGGGCAAGTGTTCTACCACTGAACCATATCCATAGTCCTTTTCATGTTTTGCTTTAAACAGTTTTACTAACTTGCCCAGGTTGACATTTGAATTTATTCTGTAGCCCATGCTTCAATCTTTTCTCTCCTCTCGTCCCTCCCTCTCCCTCCCTCTCCCTCCCTCCCTCCCTTTCTCCCTCCTTCTCTCTCTCCCCCTCTCTTTCAAGATTTAGTTCGAAGTGGTGGTGGTGGTGGCTAATCACAGCACTTGGGAGGCAGAGGCAGGTGGATCTCTGTGAATCCAAGGCCAGCCTACTCTACAGAGCAAGTTCCCAGGACAGCCAGGGCTACACAGAAAAAAAAACTGTCTTGAAAAACAAACAAAAAAAATTTAATTGCATATATGTGTGTAGGGAATATATACATGTGGTATGGGTGCCCAAGGAAGACAGAGGTGTCTAATCCCCCTGGAGCTGGAGTTATAGGTAGTTGTGAGCTACTTGATGTGGATATTGGGAATCAAATTTGGGTTCCGACAAGTGCTCTTAACCCTTGAACCATCTTTTTGACCTTGAACTTCTCATTTTGCTTCCATCTCCCAAATGCTGGGATTACAAGTGTGTCACAGGCTCAACATAGGCTTTTTTTTTACATGCAAACTATTGCACTGAAGCCTTCACGAAAGGAGGAAGTGTCCTGATTACACATTTAAATTGACGTAATTATCAATTCCCAAATTAATTGGAAAATTACATGCTAACTATGCATAGTGGCACACACCTGTAATCCAAGTTTTCAAGAGAGAAAGTCATGACTACAAATTCCAGGACAGCATAGATTACAGATGAAGTCTTAAAAAAAAAGGTGCAGGGATAGTCCTGCTGCAGAACGAGACACAGGACTTGGGCTGGAAATCCCCCACCCAAGATCACATGTGAGAGTAGAAGTCCCCAGGCCTCTTATGGGAACTCCTAACCAGGAAGGTAAGGATGGGCTAGGAATAGGAAGTAGGTGGAAAAGCTAGAGGAGGCAAAGAGGTCACAGAGACCACCCTCCCCACACTTCTGAAGCACAATGAAGGTCCTGGGGAAGAATCCTCAGGGCATCCTGGGCAGTGTCCCCAGCCCTTTTCTAAGCAGAAAGGAAGGTAAAACTCACATTTGACACGTGGTCTCTTCCGAGGTCAGGGAGCTTGGAGGTACTGGATATCACTACACTCTAAGGTGCCCTTCCTCCCCTCAGAACTCTGCTGCCCTTGGCTGTCACATCTGGCCAAGGAGCTTAGCATTGGCACACAGGTGAACAGAGGCGCAGAGAACTCTGTATGAGCCCCTCCAGTCCTAGGGACTCCCTGCAGAGGACCTGTACAGCACAGAGGCCCTTTCTGCTTGAAGCTGCGTCCATCCAGAATCAAAGTGAGACTGAGAAGCTTTCATGGTCCTGGAAACTGTATCCACTGGACTGGTGCTCCTAAAAACCCCGCAAGGGAGACCACAGCTCTAGGCTAAGGCACTAGGGGTTGGAGTGGAACCCCACTCATCCCCTCAGTTCAACAAGGGACCTAAAACAACTCCCACAGGCTGCTGCCCCTTGAGTACCAGACTGGAAGACCAGGTGCTAACACATAACAGCTCCCTGCTGTGGGTATCTAGCTGGCTTCCAGGACCCCACCTCAGCTGTGACATTCCACGCCAAGGCCATGAGCAGGTGCAGGATGGTGGTAAAGTCTGATAGTCTGCTAAGAGGTCCATATTCCAGGAGAGTGTCCTACCACTCTGGGATACTCAGGGGCTGGGATCTGCTTGTTCACACTATCTTCTGAGTTCTGAAGTCTCATCTTTGCCCAGAAACCAGCTCAGGTGCCACCACCTCATGACTATGAGGAGCCATGCTGCATGCGGGGCCCCCCCCCGCACCCCAATACACAAAAGCAGGTTCCTGTGGAAAAAAAACTGAGTCATACAGGTAATGTAGAGCAGGGCTAGGATTGTGATGAGGTGTCAATTGCTTGACACTCCTGATCCATCGTTTTTAATACCAAGGCAGTGGCCCTGAGCACCAAAACAGACCTTCAACAACACTGGCCCTGGGATCTTGACCAGCTCAGACTCTGCTACGGATCCCAATCTCAAGGCCCAACTTGATCCACATAACTTTTCTCATGCATGAAATTCCATCTTTCATGCCTTGCCTTCAGGTCCTATTTTTACTTCTTCCATGAGGAGAATTAATGTTTACTGAAAACTATAAACCCATTTAACCAGTGTCCACCTCAAAAGCATCTAGTGTAAGTAAGCTACCTAGCCACAGTGTTTTCTTTTTTCATCTAAAGAATGACAATGTGTTGCTGGGCAATGGTGGCACATGTCTTTAATCCCAGCACTCGGGAGACAGAGGTATGCAGATCTCTGTGAGTTAGAGGCCAGCCTGGCCTGGCCTACAGAGTGAGTTCCAGAACAGCCAAGGCTGTTACATAGAGAAGACCTGTCTGGGGAAAAAGAAAGAAAGAAAGAAAAACAAAGACAGAGAGAGAGAAAGAAAAAGAAAATATGAGAAAAAGGCAATTCTATTTTAAAGTAACAATTCTTGTGACAACAAATATCTGTACTTCCTCACAGGGGAGGATAGGATCCTGCAAGGTTCTGAGGAGTTTGAGGAAGATCCTACCCCCATGGTCTACCAGACCTTATCAAAGAGATAGTACCTGCAGAACTGTGGGGCTGATTACTTCCAGAGAAATGTGATCTAATTTTATGTTAATCTTTCAGTTTTCAAGGAAGTTGTAAGAGTTGCTTTTATTTCCCACAGTGTGGTAAGCCCATGGAGAGGCACAGCTCCTGGCCCTGATATGTGCAGCACCTTCACCTGAACCAACCACTCCAAACAGTTCTCAGAAGTAGAACGTTAACAACTGAGAGAGATTTGGTCAAGCAAATGCAGCTTAGCTCATAGCTGGTACAGAAGGGCTGCTGCCTCAGACACATGCTAGAGAAGACACATAGCCTATTAAGCATATCTTTAATAAGTCTGGGCCATGCTGTGGCAGGGGCTGAGCCAGAGCATATAGACACAGCATAAGAAAGAAGGTTCTGGGACAGCACTTTTAGGGGTCATGGTAATTCCCAGACACATGGTAGGTAGCATTTCAGACCCACCCGGGGACACAAGTCAACCACAGGTCTCATTAGACCACAGGCCTCTCCCTCAAGCTGTAGGAAGGGTCAGACAGGAGACTGGTGGCCTGGCCCCCGTTGAGGGTTGAGAGGCATGCTCAGAACTCCTCATGCACATTGCGGGCATAGTCCATCAGCTTGCTGCCAGTGAAGAACTCGCTATACTTGAGAATCTCCTCAGGCTCCAGGTGGTGATTCTGGTTCTCATCGGCAATGGCAATCATCTGTTTGGCTTCATTGAGGGCATTGTATTCATTCATGGGGTCCATGTAGTTCTGTGAGATCCAGACACAAGTCAGTGGCCTATACCTGACTCCCTATCAATAAGGGGGTCCTGTGCCCACAGCCCCCATACCTACATACTAACCCAGAAGTCACTTCAGAAGTGGGGCTAGTATGAGTTTTCTCTTCTGTTCCCATACAGAAGGGGCCTTAAGAATCCCTTAACACAGAGCTAGAATATAGCTCTGTGATAGAACAATTGTTTAGCATGTTTACAGGTCCTGGGTTTCATCCTGAGCACCAAAACCAATTCCTAGATGCCTTCTACAAACCAGGGAGTTGTTTTCCTTTTTTTTTTTTTTTTTGGTTTATCGAGACAGGGTCTCTCTGTGGCTTCAGAGGCTGTCCTGGAGCTAGCTTTTGTAGACCAGGCTGGTCTTGAACTCACTTGCCTCTGCCTCCCGAGTGCTGGGATTAAAGGCGTGCGCCACCAATGCCCTACTGGGAGTTGCTTTCTAAAGGCCAATGGCCCATAGTCAGCAGGTTTCACAAGACCTTCCCATCTCCTCAGTCTGAGTACTAATGCTGATGCCCACTGTCTCAGGTCATCACGTTGGCAAGCCCCCTTTCCTTTGGGTCCTTACTGTAGGATTAGCCCACCGCCTCCAAACCCAGGGCCATTCCTGGAACACACCAACATTTATAAGCACCCTTACTCACCTCCAGCTCCTCCATGGTCACAATCCCATCATGGTTGGAATCAATCAGTTCCTCAAACTCTTTTCTCCTGTCTTTCACCCAATTGTCATCAATGTCTTGGCCTTGCTGGTTCTCAACGGTGCCCACCGGCAATGAGATGAACTCGGGCAGGGACAGCTGCTTATCGCCATCCTGGTCTATAGATAAAGGGTTGGAGGGAGGTAGTGTTCAGCTTGGGCTTTACCTAAAACTCACAGAGTACCATTTAAGAATCTCCTTAGAAACCAAAACAGGACAAGCCCACCCACCCTGGGGCTTGGTATACCTTTCAGCAGTGTAGTGTTCCCAGCCCATTGGTCACCCTCAGGCCTAGAACAGTGTCACAGTGAGAACATGCCTTACCCAAGTCCCGAACAATCTCCTTGACCATGAACTTGAGCATGCCTCGGCTGTGCTCAGGGTGAAGGAATGAAAGGAACTCCTCCTCAGTCAGCAGCAGGTCTGCAGGTGGATTGTCTGCCTGATACCAGCGACCTTTGAGGTTCTCAAGGACTTCCTGTGCTGCGAGAGGCACATTTGTGAATACCTAGGCATGCTGGACACTAATGCAAGCACCCATAAGGTTTTACTTGAGCTCATGAGAGCCATCATTTGCCAGGTTCAAGACTAAGGATGCTAGCCCACCTAGAGGAGCCTGGACCTTGGGAGGGGACAAATAGGACCCCTGAACACTGCCCAACTCACCTTCCCTGCACGCTCCAAACTGTTTATTCCTCATCA